AAAAAAATTACACATAGAAACTGAAGTTTATGTTAATAATTTGCATTATATTTCTTAAATATCTTTAAATTCTATAAAATCATTCAAAAATTATTTACACAATTCATTACATTTAAAAATTCTTAAAAAAAAAGAACTCTTAAAAAAAGTTTAAATCACAAATCATGCATTTAAATAAATTAAATTAAAAATAATTTATTCTAAACATATTCATTCAGAAATAATAGTTAAAGCATAATTTCAAAATAAAGGTAACGAGAATATCCATTGCAGTTTGTAAAATGTTGAAACGTGTATTTTAATCAATAAATTATTTTCACTTTATTTTCTATGACGTGTATGTTTAGGTACATTCTTAAGGTTAACAAGATTAAAATGTTTTAGGTACACAAATAACAAAACCATATATCTATCGATTTTCAAAAAGTCTTCACAATACAATAGGTCACACTGGTTTAATCAATGCTTTTTAAATAAATTTTTATAAGACCTTTTTTCTTAATTCTAAAATAATAATTAATTTAATTCAATTTAATTAAATTTTAAAACCGTAATAATCCAAACGCAGTAATAGGTTTTATAGACAATTATATGAATTGATTATGTTTATAAATTCAGATTCATATTCGAAATAGATTTCATAATAAATTCAAAACATATTCAATTATTAAGCAAAATAAGATAATGATCGATAGTCTATTATCACTTGTTAGAAAATATTACTTAAGTCTTTTGCAACTGAACTGAAATATGCATTATTATTACCTTAGTATTATTCTCTGAACCTTCGATAATGGCAATATCCAAATTAATTGCAAAAAGAATTCTACATTGGATAGATTGCTAACAAACAGCATGATTAATGGCAGAAAATGTAAACATTATTTACGCATATTTTCTAATAAATAAGGATGTCATTTTACAAAAAAAAAAACAAAAAAAAAAACAAAACAAAAAAAAAAAACAAAACTTATTCTACCAATCCATATGGAAATATAATACCTTTCACTTACTCTCACGGAGACGTCCAGATGAAAAAAATTCAGGCATCGGCTTCTTTGCATCTCCAATGCCCATTGTTATGCGTTAAGGTGACAATTATAGCCACAATTTCTATGGCAGTCACATTTTCGAATAACTAATACCGTTTCTGAAAGCTTCGTATTTTGCGGCTTTCTTTTGTACTTTTTACTCCTCAATTTTTACTCTTATTTTTCACGAGGAGAAAAGCTGATCGATTAAACGCAATAGATTGATTTGTATTATCAATAGTAATGTTGAGGAACAACTTTCCATTATAATTAACCAGTTAAAAATGTAATCGACCGTTACTTCTTATTACAATTTTACAATCTAAATGATTGGCAATTTTATTTGTAATGTATTTGCAATTACAAATAAATGGCGTATTCGATTAGCAGAGTTTATAAATTTACCAAAAGCATAAAAATGCCGATCAAATTGATTCCATATTCCAACTACAGAACTTGCTGATTGCGGTGTGACATTATTTAAATAATTAACTGACGGGGTGCTGTTCAATATTCAATATTCAATCAAAAATTAAGAAAATGAGCTCAACATACGTTAAAGTAGAATTAAATACCAAGAAAATATAAAATACTAATTGTTAAGCAGAATTACGAAAGCAATTGTTACAATACAAGAAAATGCTTCGTACTTTAACGCTTACACTTATCTTTTCGTAAGGCTAAACGAAATTTTTAAGATAAAAAATTTATTTCCGTCCTGGCTACATTTACGGACATTGAAATTATAAACAATGTACGTACAATTACAAGGCATGCGAGTAATCTTGCGACCTCTCAAATTTCGACCACGTACTCAATACTTTATTTAATGTTTTAAATCTTAAATATTTAAAACATTTAAGCAACAATATTGTCTTAATAACAAATTCAGAGTTTTATCAATAATACTTTGTTATATTGCAAATTGCGTATGAAAACAGCAAGCTATAAATAGTCGTTTATTTGTCTTCGTTTTACATAATAAAAAACTATCCTATATGTAAATTTACTTTTTCTCCCCTTATTGATTTCTTAATTTTGTCAACATAATATGTATTTATCGAATGCTCGAACGTTTATATTACGGAAAGAGAATTGAAAAACGGAGAATTATGGGGATTAATAGGGGGTTGGGGGGGGGGGGGGGGGAAAGCGGGGGGGGGGGGGGGGGGGGATGGAAATCGCGGGATCGAAGGATCGGGTAAGTGCAGGATCGCAATGAGCTTATTATCAGAAATATCGTAGATAAATTAGGAAAAATAAGTCGTAGGTAATTTAGGCACAGGTAATTATTATATTAACGTACTAATGAAAACTGATTAGCAGATAGTAATGATAATGTCTGACGTGCATTGCAGGGGCACATGTTTATTACCTCATTACAGCGATAGATAATTGGTGCTTCCAAGTAAGATTCGATGCGCAAGTTGTATTGTTGATGATTTGGACGTGCGGGTCGAATTAAAATTAGATACGTCGACGGCTCGCGAGCGCCTCAGCTGATCGGAAGGAAAAGTTGGGAACGGGAGGCGCGAGGCAACAAACGAACCCACATCAAAAGCGCAAATGAAAAGCGAACTCGCTGCAGTTGTATTGGAGTCAATGGAGGGGGAGGCGGACATGTGTGCACACACGCGAGTCCATCGGCCGCCAAGTGTCGAGTCGATGGTGGTGACGGTGGAGGTGGAGGCGACGGCGACGGCGACGGCAACGGCGACGGCGGCAGCGGCGCTGGAGGGGCCGGAGGGAGAGAAGCGTGGGAGGGGCGGACGAAACGCGTAAACAGAGTCAACATGTAAACAGGCCACTGGCGAAACAAACAACGTGGGGGCCGTCGTCGTCGCCACGGGCTGTTCACTTCGGCATAGTCGCGGCGGCAGCTCTGACGTACGCGCGGCATCGCGACGCTTCGCCGCCCTTTTTTCGCTCATTCTCGGTTGGTCGCGAGCTAATTTTTGAATTTCCCGCGATTTTTCGGCTAGCGTGCGCTCTTGGCGATGTGCGCGGGATAAGCGGGGAGAACGAAGCCTGAGAATTAGCCTGCCCCGTCGCTAATAGCCATTGTCGCGAAGTTAGTCAGCCGGCGAAAAGAAACGAGAAGAAGGACGGACGGAAGGTGGTATGTGTTTGTTTGTACGCACGTGCGTAGATGTGATGTAGAAAGTGCGCGCGTGTGATTTGATGCTCTATTTTGCGAATTTCGATATGGTTATTGGCGCTCGAGCGAAAGACTGTAGAAAATGTTATGTTTTCAAGAGGAAAAAAGCCTGGAAAAAAAGAGGAGTAGCGTATAGTTGGCATTGAGTGATTTCGAGGAAGCGATCGAATAACCAGGCATCAGCGAGAATTTTAAGAATATTAGTTAGCCTATACGACATAAGCAATTGTGCTGTAAATCACGTTGAAAGATATTTTCAGAGTAGTGTATGATAATACATTGAAATCACATGGTAATTTCAGTAAAATTTTGTCGATATACGACTTCCCAGATAATTTATCGAAGGAACAAATTTAATTGAGAATGGTTGCCTATCGAGTGGATATACAACGTCAGGCGCTTATTCCCGTCCGAAATTCGATTTCGTTAATAATACATCGAGAATGTAACAGTGATTCATGAAATACTGTCACTTCTCCAAATCGGCATTTATCTACAACAGATCAAGTAATAATAGCACTAAGCCCAATAATAATAAGAATAATAGCACGAAGCAGAAGAGGAAGAGGAGGTGGTGGAGGAGAAGGAGTTGGAAGACGTAGAGGCGGGCGAGGAATTTGATTCAAAAGCCCGTGACCTAAGAGAAACAAAAAGTGCAGCTCAAAAGCGAGGCAACGAGAAAAAGAGAGGGAAGGCTGAATAAAAGGGAGAGAAACCGGTGAGTCTGGCGGATATCGCACTGTCAACAGGTGTAGGCGCAAATGTGGGAGGGTCGGGGGAGGGGGGGGGTTGTGATGGTGTGGACAGAGATAGATAGAGAGAAAGAGAAAGAGAAAGAGAAAGAGAAAGAGAGATACACACACAGGCCGTTGCGAGTTTGCGTCAGCCGTAGCGTAAATGCAAGTAACGCAAATGCCAGCAAACACAGACTCATACACAGACGCGCACACTAGTACGCATGATAATTTTTATCTTGTCACGCGGCATCGATCCCCCAGATGAGATCGATGCATACGCGAGCGTAAGTACGTGCATGTGTGCGCGCACGCGCACCGACCAGTGTTACGCTGCTCTGTACATAGCCGCACTTCGCTCATTGTTTTTATGCTCGTTTCCTTATTGTTCTCCGCGTAAATAATGTATATGAAAAAGTCTCTTGCTGCCTTCACTTTTGGCATGCCTTCTGTCAAGATATCTACTATTCGATATTAAATTAACCTTCTCTTCGTCAACTGTTTGTTTGTTTTTTTTTTTTTTTTTTTACGTTCTTTTGGTTTTTCTGTACTTTTGGCATTAATGCAGTACTTGGTAAAAGTAATTCAATTGAAAATAATAGGATTCATGGAATTGGAATATCTAATTAAATTGCACATATATATTTTTTGCTGGACTTGTGACATGTAATCGGCAATTTAACAAATACGTATTTGCAAAAAATGTTAATGTTACCTTTTTTTTTTTTATTCGTGTTCGTTATTGTCAACAGACGCGAAAAAAACATATTTGAAGTAAATTTCCACAATAACATAACACATTCTGCATAAAATTCAAAGAAATTAAAATCGTTAACTTAATATCAAACAGTCTTTTATTTTTCTCTATACATTCAAGTCGGTGACTAAAGTACAGTAGATTGAATAAGTAATTTCCTGTATACCACAGACATTTTATTCGAAACATTGGTATGTGTTAAGCAGAGTTTCATAATATTGTTTTTAATTTAGCAAAAATAATAGTTAAATTTGATATGAGTTAATAATGATAATAATGATGATAACAATTGGTATCGATCGGTACATTTATTATGTGTTGAAATGAAAAGTGCTGTTTATTTCATTCTAATACAATAAATTATTTGAATTTATGCAGAGGTCGCAAGTCGGTGTTTGTTATCGGTAGTCATTGAATAATTTTTCTCTTAATTATTTACAAAAATTCAAATTATACACAATCTGATTTTATCGATGTTGTTTTCGTAGTGAGATAAGTGCTTTCTCCTTTGTTTTTAAATATTTAAAGTACTCCCATTGTTAATTTGATCGAGTCGCTTGCGCAAGAGATTGCAAGAGGCCTTTTTTAAGCGGCTACAGGAAGTGAATAAATTATCTGTTTGTTCAAATATAGCTGATTTCTGAACTCTTCCGTTTGCTCCAAATTAGTTGCTTTATTGTGAAAAGGCCTGTAATCATAAAGAAATTTGTAATTGATGAAGTTTATAGGCAAACCATTCTGCGGAAAAAACATTAAAGGTAAAATAAAAATAAAAAAAAAAATCACGATTTTGCATAAAATTTTATGGTAATAATCCGACAAAAATCTTAAAATGAAATCATAAGAAATGAGACTTTCATAATGCTTTTATTGATTTGATTTGAAATCAGTATTGTAATGCTGCTAAGATTATAAATCAATTGTTTCTGTTTTACATATTTCTCATATGTAATTTCTTTGAAATATATCCTGAATTCATTATTTGTAGAGCTATTTTAAATTACTCATTCGTATTGGAAAATTATCTCAAATATGACTAAGAGATTGAATACTAAAATACTAAATAATTTATCGTTTTCAGTGTTGAGCACATGTGCTTAGTAGAAAATATAAAGGTGTGAAGAAAAAGGAATTGTCTATATTACCTTAACGTTATTACCTTAACGCTGGTAAATATTCATTTGATATTTTACATAAACAAAAGTAATATTATAAAGTAACGCATTACTCAGAAACTTATAATTCACAAACATAATTCTAGTTATCATTTTTTAAACAGAATTTCATTGAATTTTCCACACTTAAAAATATACTTCAGAATTATAAAAGGTACATGACGTTTAAGATATATATATATATGTATATATATATATATATATATATATATATATCTAACGGGAAAGATAATAAAATACGCGGAAACATAAAAATTGTATAAAAAATAAATAATAATAAACAAAAAAAAAACAAAAAAAAAAACATGAAAACGACTATTATTTTCAAGTAGTTCCGAAAAGTAATTATAAACCAAAACATTCTAATTTACACAATGTTTGTTGGAATGAATAGACATAAGGAATTTATAATGTTTCCTTCTGACTCATACATACATAACACTTGTAACAGAGAAGCATGAGCGTAGTAAAAATTTTCGCGTTTTTATGTACATGTGCAAGCCAAATACGTAAACACGAAAACAAGAAATCCGTAAGACGTGTGAAATTCTAAACTCTTACGTATCACCTTTTGTGATTCTTGTTGCATTTAGCAGCTTTGAACGATATAAGTGAATATTGAATGGCCAGGCTCGAAAGTACGCAATGCATGCCACAAACGAAATATTTAATTCTTATAATTTTCATCTCAAAATTGGTTTCCCATGATAAACCTAGAAAATAACGAGCGCCACATAATCCAGAAACAACTAGTAATTTAATAATTCCCTATATTTCGTAAATTCGCCTATTATCAATATGGAATTTTGTCTTAATTCCCAGTGGGCAATTATCGAACAATCCATAAATACTCATTAGCCAAAAAACTCAACAGTTAAAAAAGTCTCGGATCCACATGGGTGAGTCGTATTGGTTGGTAGCTCAGGGCGAGCACGTGCGAACTCACGTGTATTCGTTCAACGGCATCGCGAGAAATCGATCGGCCTTGGGCGAGTTTAGCATAGGTAGTGGAGGCATTTATGTTGTCTGCGAGAGAGAAAGAGAGAGTGAGAGAATGAGTGTTGGGGTGGGTTGAGCGTGGGTCGTGGGGAGAGGGGGTTGTCGGTCAGGAGGAGGTGGAGGAGGAGGAGAGATAAAGTGAGCGAATGTGAGAGAGTGAGGTATTAATTTTAACTGTCATGGGCCATTGGAACAACCTTTTCTTGCCCGTGACGATCATAATGGCCGACATGAGTTTGGCTCACACTTGACGCGAGGGGCAAATCTTGGATGCATTCAAACGAGCTATGAACGTTATCTTAATTTCTTACTGTTCAACGTTCCTCGGGGATCGTCGGCTCGATGCTTTAACGGAACATTCGCGAACATGTCTGACAATTATCGTAAGGTGCTCCTATCCGTCTCTGTAACAATGTTTATTACAAAAAGAAAAATTTTTATTATGAATTTAGATTGAATTTTTGTTAATAAGCATTATGTACTCTCTCTCTCTCTCTCTCTCTCTCTCTCTCTCTCTCTCTCTCTCTCTCTCTCTATATATATATATATATATATATATATATACGAGGATTCGAATAATAAAATATCATGTTGGTTCATGATAATTCAAGAATAGTTTGTAACATGTAACATGCAACATCACGATTACCATTGTGATGTGCTCGAAACATAACTGATAGATTATCAAGATGAAAAAAGAGCTTTATTTTGCTTTAAAATAAATAATATAATAATGAATAATGTAAATATTAGATATATTTATGTACGAATTTCGTTACGTAAAATAAGGTGCTTTGTCATTGTGAATTTTATGATTAGTTTGACTCAATACGCACATCTTATTTATTATTTTGATTTTTTTCTCATCAAATACACATTTTCTTCGCTAAAAATGTAAAAATTTATTTTAAATGTCTTAATTTTCGGAAAATTTATCCCCCATTCAACATCTATTATTTCAAACATTTAACCGACTGTCAATCTATTTCTTAATCAATAAGATGTAAAAACGATCTATCGGAATAAATGCAATATTTTAGCAATTAATAATATGTGCTCGCGTGTGTATGTATATCATTCGGCCTGACAAGCTTCTTATAAAAATGAAAAGTGTGATTATACTCACGTGTCTTGGACTTATTAACCAGCATTCAAAATGTAAAAAGAAAATCCATCTGGCACATAAATCAATGCACTCGCACGTTCCTGCACTTATTATCGATACATGTATATTAAACTCGTAAATTCGATACCAGCGTTCGATAAGGTGTGTATGCAATTCTCTATTGAAATACAACGGACAGAGTGCAACCTACTTTAAGGTAGTTACCGTGAAAAATTCTTTTTTAAAGAATATCTCTTTATCTAGAATGCGATAAGTATGTGTGCGATATAATTGGTAGCAATTTTCCAATGAATTCTAATGGGAGATTTCAAATAATTGAATATTTTTATCGATAAACACATTTAGGTCTTTAGTGGAACTTATCAAGCTCTTTGTGAATATTATCTAATGAATTAATATGTTAAAAGTAAAGATTGATTTATTAATAAATAAATTGTTCCACGTAATAGATTTAGCGAATACAAAGTTTGCTTTATCATATTCGCGATTTAATAATTATAATCATTATTTATGATATCTCTTATGAAGTACCTTATCACCTCCTGCGTAAGATTTATTTACATTTACATAATCTACATCTAACCATTGTCATTTTATCGTGATATATAATTAATAGCTATTGTAAGCTTAATTGTGCGCAATTAAGACTCGTCGTCGAAACAAAGTCTTTAGGCGAAATTTTGCGCGAATACCAATTATAATACATTGAATTAATTCGATTGGGATAATGGAAATTTACAGATTTTATGACGAGAAAATTCGTAATGTCGTGTAACACCGCACTTGTTGAGTAGATATATTTAATTAAATTAATGTCACTAGGGACGGATTAAAATTTGGATTTCGCTTTTAAAGTGCAAGTGCAGTGCGTCAAGGACCTCGATCCCCTCAGTCATTTTTCGAGTGTCTGTATGCTCGAGTCTATAAGCCGTGGTCGTAGGTTGGATATTTCGTTCGGGTATGCTTGTAGAAATGCACGTATTGGTTGGCTTTTAAGATTATAATTATGCTCCGGACGTCCGATGGAATGGAGCGATTTGGTGTGTCTAGAGTGATTGCGTAAGGAAAAAGAAATTCAAGTTAATCGCATACGGAACCGCATGCGGATAAGTTATCGCTGAACTTTCGAGAGGAAGTAGACCTGACGCCTTTCGATAATGTATTATCAATTATAATTAAGCGGCTGTTTGTATTTTTCATTTTGTTTCGTGCTAAGCATGCTTGTGCTTTTGCCAATTTTCTTGTGAATTACTTTTTCTCTCGTAATCGAAGGCTATTTGTACGCGTGGCAATCGAGCCTTGCCTTAACATTGAATTACGATTACATTTCCAGATAACATATTATTTTATAGTATTTTTAACAATATTACCTAATGAAATTTGAATTAACGCGTTAGTAATCATTTATAGAAGTCGACGAGTAGTAGATAAATGATATGATTTTCAGAAGAAATGATTTTCGGAATTTTATCTTTCGCGTCAAGTATTGTATTTATAAATAAAAATATTTTATGGTGTCATGATTCACACTTCGTGAAAACCAACATATATTATAAGCAAGAAAAGAATTGTAAAATAAATAAGTATGACGTAAAACATGTACGCTCGGTGCGTTAACGCAGAAAATTGCTTATCTTCCGTTTTTTTTTTTTTTTTCATACCCTTATCGCTAGCGTAATTTGCTTGCATGTGTAGGTGAAGGACGATTACGATTTCGCGAAAAAAACAACTTTTAGACGAATTCGCGTTGATTTTTTTTTTTTTTTTTTTTTTGTTTGTTCTTGATTGTTAATATGACTTTTCGATAAATGCAAAACTTGTAATAGTAGATTAAAGAAAATGTTTTTCATCAAGCACTCAACTAATTTGGACATTGCGATTGCGAATTGTAAGGCAATTATTAAGATATTTTGCAGAATTCGTTCACATTCGATAATTTAGAAGAAATAGCATTTTCTTCTTTTTTTTCCTCGAAAAGATATTGCTAAATAGAAGAAAATTTTGCACAATTATTCGGACCTTATTGTATCGACTTTTAGATATTTCTATACGCTTACAAGATAATAAATAATTACCTATTATATAAAAAGATAATATAACAAGATAAATTTTTAAACCAGCCGGGGCATTTGTTGGGGCATGATTTGATTAAACTAGAGCTTCATTTATAATTAATAATTTAACATTTATATAAGCAGAAAATTCAACTTCTTAAATAACATTATTGCTTTTATCAGCTGGCGATTATCAAAATCTATCTCAATAATATATGTACAAAATTCGACACACATTTCTTCCAATAAATATCAAATCAGTATTTTAATCTGAATAATGTTCTTACAAATATGCAATTTCCAAAGTTCTGATTTTCAGCTAGAATATGACGAACCATTTTCGAAATTAGGCAATCACGAAAATATTCTCCCTTCCAGATCAATACCTGTCCTTACCAAATTTGTAAATGTCGTATCCGTTGTTTAAGTCGCCAGATAAGGCCACAGCGAGTGACCTGTTCAGTGTCGCTCGTCGAGTCCACGGACTTTGTCTATATTCATCGGAATCGCGAGGCTTAGACTGGCCAAATAAAAAGAGAGAGAGAGAGAGAGAGAGAGAGAGAGCGCTTAAGGGAAAGCAGAGGCTGAGCAAACAGTCGGCCACATTTTATTTATGGAACTTGCGGCCGATGGCCGGTCAGTAAGGTGAAGTGAAATGTAACAGAGAGGGCGTCTTCTCTCGTCTGGGAATTCTTCCCTTTCGTTATCGGTGCAAGGATTTACCGTTCCATTACCGCTATCATTATTGTCGACAAGCTGTTAACTAATAATTGAATGCTTCGGATGCAGCTTGTATTTCAATTTGCTCGTTGATCATGATAAAAGTTGCAATCTAATTTCAGAATAATTCGCACTTTTTGCTCCAATAGCGCTCGAATAATTATGGCAAGCGATCAGCACGGGAAAGAGGCTTTATTCTAATTTTTTTTTTTTGTTTTTTTTTTTTTTTTTTTTTTTTTTTTTGTTTCCTTCGATAGGCTGAATGGGCGATGATATACAGTCGAGACGATGACGCTCCGCTTGAAAAATAACGACACGTGCCAGAGTAAACAAAGGCGTCGACTAGTCCAAGGTGTCCTCGAGCGCAAACGAGCATTTATTTCTGCGTCCAAGCTCGATTAAGTTGTAACTTATGCAAAAATCTCCAGCTGATTAATTAGGAAAATATTATTATCCAAGGGTTCGCTTAATTTTTCAACTATCCATCGCTTTTATATTAATTACTTGGCACGTTGTTTTTCAAAATGATTTGTGTAAAAAATTTTCCGAGACACTAATATCAGTTTGAAGAATTCATTTTATACGGATATAATCCGATTTGAGTCTGGCATTAATTAATTATAAATACTTTATGTGCTTACACTCTGGTTGTTGTGTCGTAAATTTAATGAAAATAGCTCTTTATACAGCCACTGCATTTACCGAAACATTTATACATTTTTACCGTATATAGGTTGATATTGAATTTATCTTAATGTTAACAATATTAGGTCAAAATTTCATTAGAATTTTATGCAATAATTCAAGTGAATAGTGTCAAATTCAAATTAACTTTGATGCGATCTATGTATGCGAATTTAAAATATGCCTGTCATCAAATAATTTCGATATTTTTTTTCAAATTACATATGGGTGTATCAATTATTATCAGATCTAATATTTTAATTAAGCCTTCTAAATAAATATCTAATTTTTCTAAAATAAATTTCATTAGAGATTTCTTCATTCATGAATTATTACATGTGATTGTTAATGCTATGAATAATCGACGATATTATTAATCAAGCATTACTAGCTCTCACTAGCCACTAAAACGATTATGCTAATAATTATATTCGATACCGATAAGAAATAAATCATCAAAATCTATCTTTCGTACTCCACGCTATTCGAACCTCCTATAATAATTATGTATAAAGCAAATTTTAATGGAATTTTAATAATGCATAAACCAAGAACACAATTATCAGAAAAATTATTAACTTTAAGAGAAAATAGTAAATTAATCATACGCGTTATGTATTTCGATTAATCGATAAAAATGAATGGTTTCGTTTTCTTTCTGTTTAAAGTTCTTTTTTTTTTTTTTTTTTTTTTTAACAGAATATTTGATAAAGAGAATTCATAAAAAATTCGTGTAAATCATAAATTATCAAAAAAATATATGTAATTCTTATTAAGAATTTGTTCTGCTGTAAACATTAATTGTATACCTGATAATGCAATAATAATTATAATAATAAGTTAATCGAAACTTTCGGAATAAAAATTACGAAATCTTAAATAAATTAATGAATAATATTAAATAGATTAGTAAGTTTGAAAAATGGATTAAATAAAAAGAATTTTATAAACGTCATGACGGAATAAAAATTGTTTTAATCACATTTATCCATAAATATTCTATAGTTAGTTAATATATAAAATTATGATTATACGCTATATTTCACAATCAATGCCAAGTATATAATTTTTTTCATTTTTGCAAAATCTTATGTGCGTATACTTTAAAATATATTCGATTATTCGTTCATTTCACTAATCACTTTTAATATGTATGCGCAAGTGCTTACACACGCACGCGCACATACGCACACAAAAATACAGAATACATAGACAGATAATGGTAACAACGGCCATAACAAAACCAACAACAACCACTACAATGATAATAATAAATTTACATGTACGTTAATTTGAAAGTTTTGTGAAAATATTAGGGAATGTTAATTTATAAGATAAAATGGACGACGGTAGTAGTGTGTGTAGAAGTACTTGTTCCGAGGTGATAGAATACGGATGAAATTGTAAATAAATTAAGCAAGAAATATAATATGTAAAATTTCTGCTATTAAGTGCCAGTGTATGAAGCACTGTACATTAGATTACATTGAACCCTCGTGATAAATGTGTCGAAGGCCGGTAAGTCGAATAAATGCTTTCCGATCGCTTGCGCCTTTCCGCGTGTGTGTATCCATATACGTGCGAGTGGTGCGGCATTTGTTATCGAAAGGAACTATTGTTGGCCTTATTGACGATGCCTCTTGTGTTATTTAAATAAGAGCGTCCAATGCATGATGCGCTCGAGCTCTTCGCTTCTTTTTTATTCTATGAAT